TTTGAAATGCTTATAACTTCTAAACTAGTTGTGCTAGCGACCCGCGGTTTGCGCCATCCGACTTCTCCTGGCCTAAAGTTATTTTTAGTAGGTTACAAATTTTCTTGCCTCTCATACAGGGCGAGTAAAAAAAATCCGTTTTTCAACATCGAAATTTTCCACTATCTTTAATACAACACCCTGTATATCACAACGTCAAAAAAAAAGAGTCATGCTAAAGGTATCCATGTACCAATAAGCATCATCCTTGAAACTTAAAGTTTTAGCCGTAAAAAATTGAAATTTAAATCCTGGTATTCTAACAAAAGCATGGCAGCTTCATGTTGTAGGTATGTACTGTACTTGCTATCACTTTGGCAAACTTTGCCATCCCTAGCCATAGTACCTTATATCCAAATGTACTTACGGCTACTCGTCCTCTGCCGCACAGCAATATTCACTCAATCCCGGAGCGTCCTTACATTGGCAACGACAAAGAAGATGAAAGCACAGACAGTTCACCATTAACTTTATCAATGTCAGATTTCAAAGCACCTAGTACATCATCACAGCCACACAAGATAACGCAAGCTGAGTTAAACGATCTCGTAAGGGACTAAGCATTGCCAAAAAGCAAAACAGAATTTCTAGGCCGTAACTTCTTTCCGTACTAGACAGAAAGAGTTGATGCAATATTTTGCTATGGTGGACACTTTAGTTATTTGTGAAGATGTTAGTGGTTTGATGAGAGCACTATTAATATTTTCTATGTACAAAACGAATGGAGACTCTCCATAGATAGCTCTAAGCTAAGTTCAAAAGCTGTTTTGCTCCATAACGGAAATATTTTACCGTCGATTCCCATTGGTCACGCAGTCCATATGAAAGAGTCTTATGAAAATATGAAAAGCCTTTTGTTGCGGATTAAGTATGATGAACACCGATGGCAAATCTGTGGAGATTTGAAAGTCGTAGCTCTTCTGCTTGGTCTACAAATGGGCTACACGAAATTTTGTTGTTTTATCTGCGAATGAGATAGTCGATATAGAAATGTGCATTACATAAAAAAGGTCTGGCGTCATCGTCAGTCACTTCAACCTGGGCAAAAAAATGACCCTATAGTTGACCCACAAATAGTATTATTGCCACCGTTGCATATTAAACTAGGGCTTATGACAAATTTCGTGAAAGCAATGAACAAAAATGGAGCTGCTTTTCAGTACCTTCGTCAGAAATTTCCAAGATTAAGTGAAGCGAAGATCAAGGAAGGTATATTTATCGGTCCTCAAATTAGAACACTATTTAAAGATAATAATTTTGACTGTGTTTTGGAAGGTACAGAAAAAAAAGCCTAGAAAGACTTTCGTCTTGTGGCAAAAAACTTCTTAGGAAATAAGAGGACCGACAACTATGCTGAACTAATCGGAAAGATGTTACAATCGTATCAAGAACTAGGTTGCAACATGTCCCTGAAAATCCACTCTTTACATTCACATTTAGACTTCTTTCCAGACAACTGTGGGGCATTGAGAGACGATGGAGAACGCTTCCATAAGGACATCGCAATCATGGAAAAACGATATCAGGGCAAGTGAAATGTTGCCATGTTGGCGGATTATTGCTAGACTGTTTGTCGAGATGTTCCAGAAGCAGAATATAAGAGAGCAGCGAAAAAACCACGTCGCCATTCCGCAAATGAGTAACAAATGTAGGTATAGTTTCTGTTAATTTTTTGAAAAAATGGATTTTTTTTTCTACGAAACTAAAACTAATTTTGAAATATTTTTATCATTATGATGTTTATCAGGTGAAAATTATTAAAAAAAGTTACTTTACGCAATAAATACTACTAAGAATTTGTAGACCTAGTGTAATAAGAAGCCAGTTTAAAAACGTAGTTAAAAAAAAATTAAATCGCGTTATTTAATAATATTGTTGAATGTTAAGTGTCAAAATTTAATTATTATTAAGTTTATAAGTGTTTGACTATATTTAATTGTAATAATTTAAACCACTTATTTACAGATGTTATTTCCGTATTTTTCCTCAACAGAGATTCCACGCCAAACTGTTACTTTTGGGGTATCTCGCTATTCTCACTGGAACTTGTTAAGTTCTCGTGGAAAATTTATTTTAACTTAGTTGATGTCCAACTACACACACATTTAAAAATTGTTTGCCATAGTGATAGCAAGTACATACCTACAACATGAAGCTGCCATGCTTATGCTGAAATACCAGGATTTAGATTTCAATTTTGTACGGCTAAAACTTTAAGTTTCAAGGATGATGCTTATTGGTACATGGATACCTTTAGAATGACTCTTTTTTTTGACGTTGTGATATACAGGGTGTTCCATTAAAGATAGTGGAGAATTTCGATGTTAAAAAACGGATGTTTTTATATATAAATACATAAAAATTGCAACCTACTTAAAAAAACTTTGGGCCAGGAGAAGTCGAATGGCGCAAGCCGTAGGTCGCTAGCGCAACTAGTTTAGAAGTTATAAGCATTTCAAATGGTTCACTCTCGGCTGGGACACCCTGTATGTGACAAAATTTGATAGTGTCTGTCAAAATTGTGCTGTCAAATAAATCTTCTGCCTATTTGAATTTTGAATACACTAGAGCTGCTCTAACGGTTTCACGAATATCAGCTGTTATCAGTATTTTTTTACCATAAATCAACTTGTCATTATTCCAGCGTCTGCCAAAAAAACGCTGCCGTCTTTTTCGTTTGCCAATATTTTTTCTGAGAGTACGTTAGTAAGGGAATCGATCTGCAAAAAAACAAAATTTGATAAATGTCGTTCACTAAAACTTGAAAATTACAAATTTGACAGGCGTCTGCCCAAGTAATGCTGTCAAACAAATCGTCTGCCTGCGTAATATTGATAAGTCCTCAAACTGTTAATTCGTTTCCGAAAACTTCGATCTTGATCAATATCGTTCACCAAAATGAAAATTCATCCCTTTTTAAAATTTAACCCCCGATTAAAGCTGCCACCCTGAAACGGCAGACGGTCAGTTTTAGTATGTCCAGGTAACCCTTAATCATGTATAATTAATAAAAATTTTGATCAATATCGTTCACCGAAAAACCTGCCAGCTCCTATACTAAATGTTTCGCAATCCATCATTTTCAACAGTTTTTTCTGAGCTGAGCACACACAATACCTAATTATTTTTTATTCAATTTTCAATTCATTTAACAAAACAACATTCAAATTCAACCGTTTAACCTACTTATAGGAGGTAAGTACGTTAAAATTAAAACTGTCAATAGTCAATGGTTTCTATTTTGTAGGAAATTTATAAAAAAAACTCGTGCACCCATAGGCGCCGGAATTTCAAAATAACTATGGGGGCTCGGGCTCCAAAAAATTTTGGTTGCTTTCACGGTATTTTTGGGACTTCTAAGGGCGGGGTTGCGGCCATTTGAACAAATTTTGATAAGAATTTATAGTAGAGCGTTACTTATATTATGATGTATGTATTTGAATACGTAGGACTTGAATTGATTCTTTGTTTATTTCAATTTGGAATTATTAATAAAATTAGGAGGTCTTTGGGAGAAGGGGGCAAATGCCACTTTGTCCCCTTTCCTGGCCACGCCAGTCGCCAGTGGGCAGCACCGGTTCAATTCGCCTTAACCGGGTACAAACTAATTCGTCTTATTACTCCGTATGTGTCTAGTAGGTTTTCTGATCTGTATATAAATTGTCCATGATAAACTAGGTAAAAAAAGCCAGTGTATTGGTACATCATGATATATATATTCATGTGATGTGAACATACCTATCATGAAAACGAACGGAAAGGAAATAATAATAGAACGTCGTTTTGAAAATACAGGTTTAAATCTTACTACACAACAAAATATTCAAAATATTTGTTGAAGAAGGTATAGAAAAACAACAAAAACATTAAACACACAAGTTTGATATAAAAATGAATAGTAAGGAACAGGAACTCAATATTTCTGTGCCTACCAATCCCTCCACTACATACAATACCAAAATCACTATGGGGGCTCTGCCCCCATAGGAAATTCATTATGGGGGCTCAAGCCCCCATTGCCCCCATGGTTCCGGCGCCTATGCGTGCACCCAATCGAGAAAAATAGAACCGGCACTATTCTGAGGGATTTTTACCGGGGGCTTTTACCAGGCAGCTGTGTGAATGAGAAAAGTCGCGGAGTTTTGACCCACGACTCAAAAATCAAAACCCCGGTTCAAAACCCAAAGTTGAGAATCGGCCTATAGTGCGTTCGCTTATTCTCTAGAAGTGCGGATCGTGTGATGTGGACTGTGGAGCTGCTACTACTTGAGCAGTGGTCAGCATCATCGTGCAGACCAGGGATGTGCCGTAGACTATGAAATCTACTTTACGCGGTTTGTCTACTCGTTTACGTATTGTTTACATCAGGGATGTGCCGTAGACTATGAAATCTACTTTACGCGGTTTGTCTACTCGTTGTCTACGTATTGTTTACATCTACTTTTTTCCATGTAGACTATGTAAACTATGTAGACAATGTAGACAACAGAAAATTTGAAATTTGAGTAATTTTTTTGATAGTTTGCATTGCATTAAATTTATATTTTATCAAATTAGACATTATCTGCAGTTTAATTAACATTACAAAGCAAAAAACAAAACAAAGCAAAAACAGAAACATAACCTTAAAGACCTGCCAACTGTCAAAAATTGTATACTTTACGCGTTGTCTGCATATTTTACACGTTGTCTACATAGATTACATAGTTTACATTGTCTACGCGTTGTTTACACCAGACGTAGACAATCTTTGTTTACGCGTAGATGCCCATCTCTGGTGCAGACCGAGCTTGAAATAAATTTTGCACGGAAGGCTGGAAGGAGAATAAACGAACGGCTTTTTACAATTCGAGCGCCCGGAGCGCACAGATCGAATTAAACGAACGCAACTTCGTTGGCTACGTCATGCTAGTCAGTCAGTTTGCCCGCTGTCAGGCAGTGTACTGTCAGAACCCGGAATAGATACACGCCCCCTTGTCTACAGTCTACACAGTACACAACTATAAAATACATACACACAGATATCAAACAAAAACTGAGAACTCGAATTCACCAACACCCCTGAAAAAGTGTTAAACCTTGTTACATTTATTCTAGTTTCCATTCAAATTTACTCTTTATTCTCATTATCTGACATTCGCCCTTCTTCTAGTGAATCTCAAGACATGATTAAACGGGTCTGTTTATACTGTACTTTGATTGTTTAATGTAATTTTTGATGTATTTGCTTTAGTCTTCTAACAATTTGTTATTTGTTTATATTTTTCCGCTTGGTGTTATGTGCCCTTTTTAATTTAACAATAACAAATTTAGTTTGGTATGATAATATTTCATGATGACAGTTGAATTTGATGATTGTTTCTGGGTAAGTACCTAATTGTATCAAAAATGTATTTTATGTTTGTTTGATGTTGGGTTTATACAGGAAATAACCGAGGAAATAACGTAAAAATATTAGAGATTTCATATACTAAGTCATTTTCATAATTATTATTTTGTTTCCTCAATATACAGGGCGAAAAGAACAATGGATTCGATGTGCTATATCATAACATGAAATTTGGATTAAATGCAAGCAAAGAATTTGGAGAATTTCTTAGAGAAAGGTAATTAGGCTTATTATGTTGACCAAACATGTTTACCAAATAAGCTTGTGAATGTACTTACTTAATCAAATTATTATGATTTTCACTAGAATCAGAAGCTGTCAATTTCTGATAAGGTCCTTTAGATACTTAAATTCTGCTAAAATCTTTTTTTTTTTGTGTCACGAAAAATATTATCTTATTCTATTCCTGAAACCTAGATATCCTTCCTGATATAACGTAACCAAATAACCATAATTATCCATTCTTGTGTATCTTTCTTTTTCATTGACTGTTAAAACTAATTTCTGATTTTACCAGACTTCAAACTTAACTGGGAGTTGGAGATATTCTGTTGGGTTTTAAGTAATCTCACAACTTTTCTATTTGTCTCAACTTGTTTCACTCTTTTTGTAAAAAGAATGCAAAAATGATTTAAAATGTTAAATATTAGCTTCTCTAGTGTGGGTCACCATGAATGGACACAATTTAAATTTCTGAATAAAAATTGTTTTAGTGTCTGTAGGGTGACCCAAAAACAGGTGTGGTGTGTTGAAAAGGAAGGACAATTCCCTTTCATTTCCATATTTCCTCAAAGCACGTAAAGGCATTAAGCAGAGCATTGTTTAGCAACTAGAGGATATTAACACATTCAATGACACCCGCGGCATTTGCTGTCATAGCCACTTCATCGAAAACGACACCAAACATATGGATGTGCGCTAAGAACGACACCTTGATATGCTGCAATATATTAACCTGTGTCTCGGGTGGTTCCAGGGACGTTAATTATACTATCCATTCTAAATATATATTTTTGGGTTTCCAATATTGTACCCTACAACCAAATATACGCTAAATCGACAGCATACAATGCTAGCTTTGTCAGGAGCTTAGTAGACCAGGACCAAAAAAAGGAAATGCGTCATATAACGTCAGAGCCCGCATTCGCGTTTTGACGTTGGCGGGAAATGCCGCTAATGCCAGTTAAAAATATGTCAACAAAATCAGGTGTCATTGAATGTGTTAAGATAAATGAGCCGTACAAGAATAATAAAAAACAATTAATCTGATTACCTATTTTTGACTGCACTCATGTTTTGTCTTGTTTTTACATTTGAAAAATATATGCATACACTCACAATGGGTGTGTAATCCATATGCATATTTTCATTACTTCATTTGTCATTTGATTGTTGAGTTGAGCCAACTGCAATTTTTTTATTGAATATTTATTTATTTATTTATTTATTTCATTACTTTACAAACACCAAAAATAGTAATTACATGTAAAGTTAAAACAGCGAAGTGTAAAACACAAAAATAAAGATAGAGTACACAATATAAACATATATGACTAATTTAAAAGGGCCTTCAATTGATTTAAAGTTACATTAAAAAGATCTACCTGGACCTCATTAAGTGCTTGGTTCGCAACTGTCATCATGCGCTTAAATGGTGACATTATTACTAGGATCAGTACCAAAGTATTTCTTGTTTTTCATAATTCTTAAGTTAATCTTTGGTACAATTAAGGAGACATAGTTAATTAAATTACAATCCTTATACTTTAGGTTGTTTAAAATATAAAACAAAAATATCACAGCCTGATTATTCCTTCTTTCCACTAATGACTTTATCTCAAAACTAACAAGCATATCCCTGTAAGGAACCATATATGGGTAAATATTATTTTTAACCACATAGAGATACCGCAAAAATCTCTTCTGCACTTTTTCAATTTCATCAATATGCGTGGCTTCCAATCGTTTCCAAATGTGTGATGCATATTCAAGGTGTGGTCTCACCAGAGCATTATACAAGTTAATAATTGTACTTATTTTAAAGTTCTTACTATTCCTGATTACAAAGCCAAGTGCTTTTACTGCTTTATTGACAACATGATGAAAATGCTTATTGAACTTCATGTTGGCCTGGAAAAAGACACCCAAATCCTTCACCTCTGTTTGACGATCAAGCTCAGTATCACCAATCTTGTATGTTTCTTCTATTGGGTTTGTTCGTCTCGTAAAGCTGACAACAGAACACTTATTAACATTTAGGGACATTCTGTTGTTGTTGAACCAGTCCATATGGTAAAAAAAAGCTAATTTAGTCAATATTAGTTAAATTCTTCCATATTTTTATGTTGAAACACTCAAAATGTAACTTTTTGTTGCTTTGATGCTTTAAGTCCACTATTATGTGTATACATTTTAAAAAGAGGTTTATATTGCCTTCCAGCAGAAATACCGCAGAAAAAATTCAACTCTCTTTTTCTTGTGAGTTAATCTGGCTAATCACCTTTTCATTAAATGAAATCACAAGGTTAGTTTGGGTAATAGAGATCAGTGGGTAATAGTGAATAAAAATCATGTCAAGAACTTTGTTGCCTGCAACTTTTAAGAGGAAAAAAAAGATGGAGAGTTATAGTACCTACCTCGGTACCTACTCAAAGTTGCTAAACGAAAATATATTGATTTTCTTGAATTATGTATCTAGATGATTTTAATATTTTGTTGAATTATCTAAATATCAATTTGTCCAGAATTGTTGCAATAATTTATAACTTGCTACTATTTGAAAAAGCAGAAGATCTAGAAACAATAGGGGATTTTTAGGTTTTCATTTTGCTATTATGTTCTAGTTTATTCTGTGCTATGGTTTAATGAATATTATAATATGTAAATAGTTTGGTGGCTTAAATGGTGCTTATTCTCTTTTTATAGATCTAATATAGAAGAATACAATTCAAAGCTTCTGAGTAAACTAGCAAAACAAGCAGGTAGCTGCTGTTCCCAAGGTACTTTTGCTCCACTATGGCAGGTCGTCAAAGCATCAGCAGAAAAACTCTCTACATTGCATGCACAGACAATGCAAAAACTAACAGAACTAGTCAAAGAAGTTGGAAAATATGCAGAGGAATTACATAAAAAACATAAATCGGTAAATATTTTTTTGCTTTTCAAATTTAAGCAGACAGAAACAACACCAATTTTTACAGTGTAAATACTGTTTACTAATTTTTATCTGATAAAGCTGCTTACGGCATAATGTTTAAGCCATTTTTATAATATAGATTATGGGATTTAGTTTAAAGTGCAAACAAATAATTTAGATAATCACTTGTAGTTAAGAAAATTAACATTTAAAGGTATCATGAGACGCTTTCTGATGATTTTGGGAAATCAAATCAGATAACCAATTTGTCCGTATTAGGTACGTATGACACAAAATTACGTCATTGCAATCTCTGTATTGAATCGTTTGGAAAATCTAGTTGATATATTTTGAGATTTTGTTTGTTATTGTATGGCCACCTACACATTTATGGTTCTGCATTTAGAAGGTCTTGACCAAATTATAATACTTGCCTGCCCCATGGATGTGTTGTTAGAGCATTATATTATTTTATAAATGCCTCCATATTATCAGTCAATATCCCAGCTAACAGCTTTGATGTGAGATTAGTAGGTGTTGCATCTTCACCTTACTTTACACAACATCCTGTAGCAGAACACTGTTACCAAGGATGATTATCGAATTAAATTTGAACAAACGCAGATCCTCGTTACAACAGCTGTGAGAGTACAGAGAAGCTAAACATCCAAATTATTCCTACAAAACAGAGGAAGCGGTAAAAATACATGGAACATGGATACCTATACTAACAAACAACACCATACAAAAGCAATAAAACGATAGACCAATCAGAGGAAGTTCTTCTCCCCTGGGCTATACATAAAAATGGTCTAAGATAGCAGAAGGATTTCAAAATTCGAGAGTCACTGCAAAGCAGAATGGTCTGTTTTGAGTTCTGTAGATGGAGGAAACTGCTGGTAGTCACTGTTGACAGAAGGCTCCTTTTTGCCATTTTGAAATTAGGAGAAAACTGCTGCTATTTCACTGTGAAGTTTTGGTGTTTTTAACACTAACGTCGCTAACAGTCCTTCATCCATAGGATTCGCTAAAACTGGATCGCTGGTCAATCTGCTCGTCAGTTTCGCAAAAGACTGGTGATATTATGACAACCAATCAAAGTGAAAATTCTTCTACGCTAGTTGAATTAGCATCACAAAATTCACAATCACAGTCAAAATCCTTGACAAACTGGAGGTAGTAAAGTCCTTGGAACCTTCTGACTTTATTCTTCCTCGCTGGTCTGGGCCAATCTTGCATCACTTGTTTTTTTTTTCTGGATCTACCTCTATCTCTTTTGAAAAAACTACATGTCTACTATAAGTCTATTTCATTGCAATTGGTAGCTCAAATCGATGTTAAGGACCATAAAGTCATTGTAAACCCTATGATTTACAATGGTTGAACAAGAGTTCACCGATCGAGTCACCGATTATACCTATCCTTTATTTTTTTTATAGCATAGTAATGGAAATACGTTTCCGTTTTAATAAGTAGTACAATACTTTAATTCGACTCAGTCTTGTTTTGGAATGATGTCCTGATGCAAAATTCGGCATCCTCTCATTTTCATTGATTTTGGAATCTCTGAAGTCAAGTCCTTGCCCACGTTTTCGCGGCAGTTTAAAAATTCGATTTGATTCGAGATGATTTAATTTTCAAAAATAGGCATTTTTTGGAAAAAAAAAATTATACAGATGTTATTAGAATGACTAATATACAGGGTGTTCATTTTAAAACTTACCCCCTCTATTAACTCGAAGTTGAAAAATTTTCGAAAAAAATCCCTGAAACATGACAATTATAATTTGAAGGGGGATGAGTTTTTATGCAAAATTCACCTCCCCCCTTTCAAGCCTCCAGAGCCACCCCCTAGAAAATCTTAAACGGGAAGGGGGTCAAGTAATGATACATAATTTTGAAGGGTTTTTAATTTCATAAACTTTGGTTTTAGATTTTAATACCTAAGTTCAACTGTTTTGAAAATATTGACAATTGAAAATTGACTTTTTTGCAACTTTGACAGGCTGTAAAACCTTCACGGTTAATTTTAGAGGAAAACCGATTTTTATCGAAATTTTTTCATCTCCAAGATAATAGGGGTAAGTTTTAAAATGAATACCCTGTATAACAATAATTTAGATTTTTTTTTGAAAAATGTGAGAGTGGCCTAATTTTTCACGTCTTCCAAAGTGAGTCTTTGCAGAACTAATTCCTTCCGATTAGTATCTATCTGATTGACAAACCAAACTAGGGTTTCAAATTTTCACCTATGAAAAACTTTAGCATCACAGAAAAAAGAATGTATTTTTTTGTAACATAGGTGGGTAATACATGAAGGCCAATTTTAGAATCCTATGCCGTGTCGGTAAAAACATTTTTTCTTAGAGAAATTAGAGAAAACATACAAAAATATAACATATCATGTGAGATGAAAATACAAAAAATCCATTCATTCTGCTTTTGCTGGCTCCAGATTTTGGGCAAACAATGATTACAAATGGTCTGTATTAAACAAGTTTGTGTTTAACTTATTGTTGTCCTCCTTTAATGATTATGGCTGAGGGTGAGTGTCAAAATATAATTAAGACTTAATTAAGAACTCTTTACATAAAATGCGTATGAGACATGAGTACTGTATATCCACCTATAAAAAATGAACCATGTCTATTTAAATTAGGCCTTAAAATTTCAAGCACTGATATAATAGGCATTTATATACAGGATATTGTTAATAATCAAAATTGCACTATCTGCATTCATGATAATGCAAATTGTTGAGCTGTGTGGCATAGGCTTCTATTTAGATGTCCTTATTGGTGTGAGATAAATAACTTTTTTTGTTTTTTACCATGATAGTTATATTCAACCAGCCTTTCTAGTGTTAAACAGCTGAACTTTCTTGCAGGTCAAAGAAGAAGAATCAGGCACTCTAGATGTAGTACAGGCTATGCAAAATATCACTCTCAACGTTCAAAAATCTAAGGAGGTCTATAACCAAAGATTTTTAGAATATGAACGGTTAAAAAAAGATAACGCATCTCCAAAGGATTTAGAAAAATTTGAACAAAAACTAAAACGTGCCCATGAAGAATATAAAAGCTTTGTTGAAAAATACTGCTATGTCAAAGAGGAATTCGAAAAAAAAATGTCGACGAGTGCCAAAAACTTTCAAGTATTGGAATTACGGCACTTGATGCATATGAAGGAGTTTTTAACTTCTTTTTCCGATGTAGTGGAGTGGTCTCATGGTGAAATGGGAAAGGTTCATACAGAATTTAGACAGCAATGCTCGGAATTGACGATTGATCAGCTGTTGGAGCAGTTTGTCAAGTACAAATCGACAGGATTAGAACGACCAGGTTGTATTTTTTTTATAAATGCTTTCTTTATTTATCATAATTAATTTCTTGTCATGCTTAAATCAAATAATTGCTTAAATTTTTCCAGCGTGCCCATGAACTAATTGAGTAATTATTATTTTTGTCATTACATAATGACTAAATGTATGCTACTCATTTCAGGCATGTTAGATTTGGAAGATCCAATTCTATCCCCAACAACTGAAACCGAACCTAATACAAAACCATCTAAGAGAGAAGGTAATGGCCCTAGCAATCAGACAGTGCCAACACATGCCAACAAACCTTCCCGCCGAACAACTTCCTTATTAAATCTCTTCATGTCTAATTCGCAGGGTATGTTCACAAAAGACCCCGTTGTCTGATGTATTAAGCCAAGAATCTATCCGCTATCCCGTCGTTGAACAATCTTAATTTTTATGATTCTGGAGACAATTTTTTTTTTTAAATTGGGTCTTTAAGTGCTTCGTTCTGAAAGTGTTAAAGCCCACAAAAACTTGAGAGAAGGCTACAGTAAATAACAGAAAACATTTCATCTTACAATTATAATTTAGACTTCTGCAATAATTAATGGATAGAAATCTTAGTGTTGGTAATAAATTTTACAATAATCGCAGTTACACAAAGTCTAGGTATCGTGAAAACGAAGCATTTAGGGATGTATTTGTTTCTCTTGATTGTTTCCTTTGTAAACGTCTCTGCTTTCATTGTTTTGCTAAATTTGTGACAATTTTATCAGTGCCTTAATTTAACTGATATAACTACCCATGTTAGAACTATTGATTACAGAAATTAAAAAAAAGTCGCAAAAGGTTTAATACAGACGACATTCAAATGTCCTGGTAAATGTTAATAATCCCCTTGGTGGTTATTAAAAAATATTGATTTCTAACCTGTTGGTTTTGGGCGGTATTTTTTTTAGGTTCTCGGGAAAGTCGTCCCGGGCCTTGCAGTGCCCCATCCAGCCCTACCACTCCGGAAGGGGAGCAACAATTGACACGTCATTCTCAACGCGGATCGAAATGTAAATTTTATATCTTTTGTCTTTAAAATCGCACATTAATACCTTTAGTGATATTTTCGTATGCAGGCGTTTGTTTTTATTTGCATATTATTTATAATTTACTAGAAGTCATGGCTGGATCTTTATCTTTATTTGTTTTACAGGACGACCTGGATCTTCCATAATGTCAACTTAATTTTTCATATTAGTAATTATGATATTATTTGAGGTTCCGAATATGTTTTTCAATGAAAGTTCAGTCAAAAATGCCTGGTTTTCAGCTTTTTTAGACTTTGAATTGGAATCTGAGCCGACGATGCAGGTTGCATCTTCCTCAGAGAGGAGTAATAATACAATGAACGTCGTAGTGTAAAACAATTACGGATGATAACTGAAACTTAAAACTAGAATTGATGAATATTTAACTATAATAACACAGATACCTATACGTAAAAATTCACTAAATTTGAATTATGGAAATTTGCATATTTTATGCTTAAGGAATCGGAATTAAGCTAACGTAACTCTAGTAATATTTAGTTGGTTTTGGTTAGATATACAGTGTCATTACTTAAGTGTGCAACATATGGGATTTTTTTTTAGTAATAGCACAATCAAAATACAAACAAGGCCAAAAGTTGGTGCATGTCTGATAATCATATTAGATGCACTTAGAATGGTTGCAAGTCAAACAGCATACAGGGTGACTCAAAAAATATCAAAATTCTACTAATATTTACTTAAATAAAATAAAACTTTTGCACTTTGGGGAGAGTTTTTTTAATATGGCTATTATCATTAGTAATGTTTTAACTTGTTAGAAAAAAAATGCAACATTTTAAAGTTGTGTTGAATATCATTGCAACAAACATGAATTTTGTGATTCCATAAAAAATTAAAAATCTAAGTTAATTTTACAAATATGCTTGAATTTGAACAAAGTTATGTAAAATTAATTTGATTTTAAATAATTTTTGAAAGTATTAAGGGCGGAAATAAAAAATGAAAAAAATATAGAAATTATAGATTTTTTTCGAAAGAAAATAAAAAAAATCTTAGGAGGCTATGTTTTGGTATTTAGGCATAACTTTTAATTCGAAGCAACTTTTCTCTATAACATTTTGCTGAATTTTCTAAAATAAGGGTACTTTACAGTACAGCTTTGATATTGTTTGAGCCACCCTGTATGCTGTTTGACTCGCAACCATTCTAATTGCACCTAATATGATTATCAGACATGCACCAACTTTTGGCCTTGTTTGTATTTGGGTTGTGCTATTACTAAAAAAAATCCCCATATGTTGCACACTTAAAAAATCACACTGTATACAATTAACATAAAACTGCTGTATAAGAAAAATTATTCAAGACTAAATAGCAAAAAATAAATTTGATATTGTGGAAGGTCGTCGTTAAGTTAAAATATATTTGAAAAAATTTGTGTTCCTTAGCTATGTAGTTTTTTGAGATTTTCTGCGTAAGAGTAGTTTCAAAGTAGGTGTTTAGCTGTAGTTAGATCTCTTTTCCTTTGTATTTTGTGGTGCCTACTGTACTAGTTTCTAATAAGCCCGAGTATTTTTCGAGCTATTTTTGGTACCTACAGAAAATATATATGCAAATAAAACAAGCATCACCATTTTCAGTTAAAGTCACTAAATTTTCTCTTTAACTTCCCTTTTCTGCCATATTTCTTCCTCAGACCTCTATTTTATTTGGACTGTTACTAAATAGGCTGGTTTTGGCATTAAGAAGTAACAACGAATAATCATTCACCTGTCTTGAATATAAAATGAGCTCATCACTTCATTCATTACCTAATTAATGACAAAACCTCCCTATGGTTTGCATGTATTTTAGGGATAATATTTTTTGATTTTTAGAAAGTGGTCATTATAACAAGAATGTTTTTGTTGTTGTTAATGTACTGTGACAATAATAAGCATGTACTCAGTAATTAATTATATTTTCAAGCCTCAAGTGTTATCTCAGAAAAGTAGATCAATATTGGAAATAGGGCCTTGTATATGGTACCAAGCACTCTGGTATGAATTCCTCGGATCTTTCAACAAATTCGATATTTTTGAAATCAGCTTCTCATCAGCTATCGATTGTTCTTGTTAAAGTTTGTTTTTGATGTGTAAATTTATTGTTTAAAGGCGGTTTTCTGGAAATTTATGGATGCCTAAAAATCATACAAACTCATCAAAACAATAAAAAGTTAGTTTAGGGTCTCTGCTTTCTTTTTCAAAGCATTCTATTTTTCATCAACATTTACGGATCAACAAATGAATCTATTTCCAATTGGATAGAACAACGATCGTATCGTGAATTCACGATACATAATCTAAGTACTTAAATTAAGGTTGAAATTGTCTAGTCCAAATTAACATAGGCATTGTTTTATAAAGTCCGTTGCATGGTTCTTGAGCTACGACTACTGAATAGACAGAGGGAACAATGGGCTATTGCTGCGTTATTATATCAATAATATTTATTATTACATGAAAATGAAGGAAATTTTATTGCAATTTTCATGTATTGATAAATATTATCGATATGATAACGCAGCAATAGCTCATTGTCCCCTCTGTCTATTCAGTAGCCGTAGCTCAAGAACCATGCAACGGACTATACATAGCTATATAATATGTACAATGGATGTGCAGATGGAATTGAACTTCTATATCATAAATTATTACAGTAGATAGTGTTGCCAAAATTGAAATCACGGAAGAAACAATGTACATGAACTCGCAGATGTAATAAGCTATAATCAAGATAAGTGAAGCTCCATTTGAAAACATTGGAACAAGGTAGCAAATGAATTTGTTAAGATTTTGTGGTATTAGGTAGGGAACTCGATAAAAAAAAACACAACTGGGAAACACAATGTGGGAGTATTTACGTTGGTACCATGACATATATTAGCCACATTAGAATACAGTAGTCCTCGTTCAGATTTTCTTTCAAGGCTTCAAAACCTAAATGGGGTTTTAGAATTGAAATATTTTGAGAAGGATGATTGTTCAGTTTTTGCGAATTGATTGCCCATCTTTCTAAAGGAACTAAATCGGCGGTACTTAGGCATAATGTTTTCAAGGAAGCTTGCTTCCTCTAGAGTTATTCAAACCAGGCGAAAACAATAAAACCAGCAACGCATGCCTCCACTTCTTACTAACAACCTGTCAAAAAAGATCTACAAGGATTTCTAGAATGCTGTCAAATTAATTCGCTTGTCCGCCAGCAACTGACATCTAGCCAATAGGAGCACGGTAATTGATTGGATCACAAGAATGCTAAAATACATATATATAATGCCATTATTCAACTCAAAGCAACTGACAAAGATAAGCAGATGCTAGCTTTCGAGAGGGTGGCGTGTTTTATACAGCCCAACTTAGTTTTACTTTAATGTAACTTATTGGCCATCTAATCTAATTATTGACATAATATATTTTTCAGAAAATGGCTGTTAGTACCTATAGAGAATAAAGCCAGTTTAAATATCCATGTTGGCTTATATAAGTATAATTATGTCATATATATAAATATTTTCTTTTTTTAAACTATATAAACTATATCAGAGCACTACTTCTAGTAACTTTTTTTCTTTATTTATTGATTCAAATTTTCCTTTGGCATTGTGTTGGCAATTGTCGCAGCTATGTTAGTCTTTAAGCTTATTCACAGACCTCTCGCTATTCTTGTCCAAATTATTTTTGCAAATCTGTTTCAAATTGTAATATATTTCAGGGTTCTTGCGCAGCCGACGAGATAAAGGCAAAAAGAAAAAATCTACTAAGAAACAGGCATCTACTAAAGACAGTATGGATAATCAAAGTAATAAGGAAGAAAAATCTGATTTGTAAGTTTATTTGACATACATTTATTGGAATAGTAAAATGCTCATATTTTGATATGCAAAAAATAATGAGTAGCAAAATATTATCAGCAGGCTATTGTCATAATATGCTTAAAAATCGAAAATATGTATCAATTATTACTTGTTTACTGCTAGTCTCCTAACTAATAATTGCCCCTGCTATTCACACGCTCTATTAGGAGGAAACCATTCTTCGGGATTACTTCCAAATTGATGATATGAATTAAAGATTAGTCAAATAAAATAGTTTTTGCTGTACCAGATATAATAATATTTCGGAAATATATATATATATATATATTGTTTTTTATTATTTCTTCTGCTCAATCGTCATTTTTGCTGAAATCTTTTGACATGGAGAATTGATTTTCATAAAAAGGTCCAAATGTATTGATGGTAGAAATAATGTATTTCCTTTCTTGAATGTATGTGTTTACCATAATCATTTTATAGGGAGGAAAAAGATGATTCTCAAAAAAGCGATAATGCAGTCTTGCCACCATCAAATCCCCTGCCAAACCAAGAACTTGATGATGATGGATATGTCATAAGACCTGCATTACAAAATAATTGGAATGATAAAACCAACTTTTATTCGTCTTCGGATTCTGACTCTGGTAAGTATTTATTAATCCTATATTTTATTAGTCACCCTAAAATATCTCTGATTAGATGACGAACCAGAGGTGAAACTTCATGTAGAAATAAAGCCTCTTAATAATGGATCAACACCAATGTCAGCTTCAGTAGATGAACTTCGAGCCACTGTGGAAAACATATATCTATCTCCAACTGGTGGTTTTGGACGTCGAGGTTCAAACTTGGATTGTGATATGACCATGAAAAGATCACAATCCGTTTCTCAGCAAATCGGAAAACCAAGCAGTGATCTATTAGGCCTTAATTTTGTACAGAGTCCCACCGCTTCCAATGCTTCAACACCCACAAGTTCACATCCTTATGCGCCTTTACAGAGCCCATCGCAGTTACCTTTAAATTCTCCCACACTAAGTGTTGGATCGAAATATGCAGGTAATATCTTCAGAAATAGAATATACTCTTTTTTTTAATAGGGCATGTTTACTTTAGAACTAGGTGATTTATTTTCTGAAGACAATGAACCACAACCGGCATTAAAACAACCAACTAGACAAACTCCAACTCCAACTTCTGGATATATGTCAATACCTCGTCCTCCATCAAGACGATCAGAGGCTAACAAAAGCCTTATGCATCAAAGTGGAAGTAGTATTTCTCGTGCAGACAGTATTACCAGTTTGGAATTCCGGACGGCCTGCGTACCTGTAGGAGTGTCCCGAGGTCCATCTCCATTGACTATTGGAATGGCGGATACCATTCCGTTGGCGGTGGCTTTTCATGAAATTGTTCATTCATATTTCAGAGGTGCTGAAGAATCAAGGTAGGGTTTGTATTTAGGAGGTCTAGGTTTTCTATTTTAATGGCAAATATACTTATGAAGTTTTTGCATTGGTTGGAAAATAAGGTCGACAAATTGGAAACAAATATTACTGAATATGTAATTTGACTGGCATGAAATCACATCATTATAAATATATAATTTTTAATTAAAATCCGGCGTCATTAGTTTATTTAATTATGAAACCATTAAACTTGGTACCTCATCCCTCCGGTTTTCATTTAGTCAGGAGATGTATTCAAGAGATGGATTTTCAAATCTTATCATGGAATCTTGGCGTACTCCAAAAAATTTTATAAGATGGTGATATCACGATATATATCGATATTTATAGGCAATGATATACAGGGTGATTCACAGTCAATGGACCATTAGACGTTTCTGGAGAACCAAAAGTCAGATCAGTTTGAAATTTTGGTTGCGGCCATAACCTAACACGCTCTATCATTTACAAATATTTTAAAAGATGCAGGGTGCAGTGTTGCCACTTCTTATACAATGGTAATACCCTATATATTATTAAATTTTCGCACCCCTATTCCAATTTCAAATAACTTTTCCTAATAACTTCCCATACATATCTCCAGCCGTTATTGAGAAAAAAAATAATTTCCAAAATTTTGAGCTAAAAAATAACTTGAAATAAATCTCGATTTCTTAGGGTTCATTGGTGGTAAATTTCGATAGGTTTCATTCAATTTTCTGCACGTTCTTTCTGCTGATGATTTTATCACATTGGCAAAAGATTATAAATAAGTTTCTTAATAACTTGATTACTATAATTATTTTCTGCTATTTTCATGTGAGAAAATGATTACCTAAATATTGAACTAAAAATTATTATTTTTGTCAATGTCAACACACTTCTCAACATATTTTTAAATCTGCTAAGGTAAAATAATGGGTACTTTTTGTAAAGAAGTGCTTCTAGGTCCGACACGATAAAAGATATGTAGGTATAAGAACATTATACATGACTAGAAAGGGGATTTTATTTTCGTTTTTTTTTTTCCTTATTTTTGAGAATCTTCCTTTTTTCATTAAATTTGGTAAAAAGTTGATACATACAGTACAAGCTCGGTAACGTAAACACGAAAAGTACAGTACCTTTTCACATTACCAATTGTTTGAACTAAATAAAAATGTGAACATATGATTATTATTTATTGGAAAAGTTTGAACAAAAGTACACTAAACGCTAACCATAGGTCTGTTCTCACAGAAATCACAAAACAAGTCATAGCGAATTTCATTGGTTGAAAATAGTCAGAAAACTGGTTGTTAGCGATTTGCACCAATCAAAAACGCTCTACTGATTTCTGATTTCTGGGAAAATATCTTCAATATCAAATAAATAATTCGTTGTGCCCACTGCAAAGATGGGAAGTGAGGTATTTTTGTTTAGTTTTTTTTTCGCAGAACTGTATAAAATATCCTGTAAGTACTTTCCAAATCTAATAGATCTTCAAGTGAAAAGAAAAAGTTGCACCGCCACTATTACATGGTTGCTGGAAAATTCTCGTTCAGACACGCTAAAAAACAGCAACCCAATCAAAGAATACTTTCAATTCGCCAAAGTAATCCATTTGAAACATATTGTTCTTAATATTGACCAATTGTTCATATTATCGAGCGGCTTGCTGTTCATATTATAAAGTACCCAATATGCAAAGTATTGTGTTCACAAAACCGCGTTGTTCACTTATACAAGTGTTCATATTATAGAGCGTGTACTGTATGTCATATATCGATATATACCCGATATTTTGATATTTATGTAAATCTCATGATATTTTCGAACCCTGAAGATGATTCTATCATTCAGAACAGTTGCTGGCTCATGAATATCAGGATAAAAATGCGGAAATTATTGTTTTGTTATTTATTTCAGGTGCCAAGTAAAAATGTCTGGTGAAATGATGTTGTCATTTCCGGCGGGCATAGTGGCAATACTCGCCAGTAATCCAAACCCCGCAAAACTAGTTTTTACAGTTAAAAATACTTCACAGATCTGGCTAGCTTTTCCCAACAAGAAGTTGATATCATTGTAAGTTAACTGTTAATTTACTTTTACTTGACATGTTTTATGGGAGTATATTTTTTTAGTGATAAAGAGCATTCGTCTGCTGATCATATATCAATAGAGTTTAATATGAGTGCTTTAAGCTTGCTGTTGAAGAAACAATCGGAACAAAATCCAAATGCTTCTTATTTTAATGTAGATATATTAAAGTACCAAGTGAGTTTTATTTTATTTTACCTTTACCCCTACATTATAATATGAATTATATTTCAGATAAAATCAAAGCCTGGCGCAAATTCATGCCCACTTCAATTAGTGGCTTATTGGAAATGTACAAATTCCCATACAGATTTGAAAATTGATTATAAATATAATTCACATGCTATGAGCTCTCCTACGCCATTGCTCAATATGTCGGTATCAGTTCCAATAGACGGTACTGTAAGATCCATGCTAACAAAACCTCAAGCCCAATGGTGAGTTCACTTTTTGTGTTTTTTAAGCTTTCATTATTAGCTCACCCAAAAAAAAGGGCAATTAATTGGGTGCAGTACAGTTATAAAATAAAAGAGATAGCCATAACATATGAAGGCATTCTAAATTTTGCTCATAATATAATAATAGGAGGTTGCAGTTTTCGAAATGAAATTTGCTTAGATTGAAAAAATATTGTTTAGTGTTTCAGAGTTGAAATATTTAATATTTTCAACTTTTCAGTGCATCCTTTTGTTTTAAGACTAATATTGTGTTGAATAAATTACTTGATTGTTTAATTTTCTTACAGGCCCGCTGATAATAATAGAATTCTCTGGAAGTTCACTGAATTATCACAGCACTCAGAAAACAGTGGTGTTGGTTCTATGAAAGCTCGTTTTGATCTAGAACATGGAGCAGGAACCCCCACGACAATAAGCGCACAGTTCAACTGTGAAGGAACTACATTGTCTGGAATAGATTTCCAACTTGTTGGAATGGGTTACAGAGTGTCTCTAGTCAAACGTCGCTTTGTATCTGGAAAATACATATGTGATGGTGACCGTATCGATTCTGGATCAGCTACTCCAAATATAGCCTATGGAGAGCCTAACTGCTAGCATTCCTTGTTATTATTAATAATTAGATAACTTAAGTGCAAATCTTTAAAAATGTACTTACTGTCATCTTTTGTCTTTTAGCATATCGCGTGACAAATGAATGTATCAGTAAGGGCATTTTCACTAAATGATTTCAACTTTCTAATATGTTTACTAGTATAATATTACGAAAAACTTCATTATTTTTACTTTGTTTACCGAGTCTAGAGTTGATTCAGATTCGCATGTTTACTCATATACACAAATATCAAGATAATTATTACATATTTATATTTTCTTTATTTCTTTGGAAGTTTAGTTTGATTTAATCTTTTTTCGCTCTACTTGTTTATTAATCAGAAGAGCTATGTATTATTATTATTTTCTAAGAAATCTGTTCTTTTTTTTTTTGTTTACGAGTTCAGGGTTATCAAATTATATAGTTTATGAGCTATTTTATAAATAAAATTAGTAAAATGCATTACATATTTGTTTTGTATTTTGACCTGACTTTATTGAAATAATCCATAGGCAAACAGATAATCGATACAGGCTATCTCATTTAAGTAATAATGGGGCTTCAATAATAATAATATCCGGTTGCGTACTCTTAGGATTTTTCCTTCTTGAATTGGTTTATTTATCCATTTACCCATTTAGGTACCTACACTTGGCCAAACATAAAACTGGTACAGGCAATATATATTTTTCAAATTTGCCTAGTGTGAGTCAGGCTTAACAACAAAAAGTCTCGTTTGAAAAACTTAGGTCAGACAGTTTTTGTCAATGTCAAAGCTGAACAAAAGTAAATGCAACATGTTTTTATGTTATGTTTGGTTCAAAGATGACATTGACTTGACTCTTTTTGTCATTTCCGAGGTGATGAAAAAGGTCTATTTACACAATACAACATAATAGGAAAACGCATACCAGTTTTATGATTAGCCAAGTGTACATGTAATTAGTATTGGCACCTATCTTCATTTTGTTTATTCATAAATGATCCTTGTTGTTGCGCCTAGGATAAAATCTGTACCTAGGTATATATGTGCCTAATTTAATTCTGTCCGATATGGCTCATCATGTCGAACTTAACCCTTTAACTGCTAAGTCTGAGTTTTTGGTTCTCTCCCATGAATGAATGAATGAATGAAAGAGTGGGCGGCCGCGACCGTAGTGCACATAGGTCTCCTGTGGTGGACCCGTCGTGCCCCACTGAGTTCTACCAGAGGGCCAGAGGCCTATGTCCTTAGAAAAGCCAATCAGGCACCCTGGCTTCATCCTTTTGACGTCATCGGGCAAGCAATACAACTTGCCCAGGTGTTTGAACCTCGCGCGCGTGAGTGCAGGGCACTCACCGATGACGTGGTCTGCCGTCTCCTCCGCCTCCATGCACCAGCGGCATTCCGGGTCGTCCGTAATGCCCATGCTGTGGAGATGGCGTCTTAGGTGCCAGTGTCCGATTAGGAGACCAGTCACTAGCCGTATCTCGCGTCTGTTCAGGCGCAGTAGTTGTTTGGTGAGACAGGCAGAGGGCCCATCAATATGGGCCTTAGCCTGCCTCATGCCAGGTGCCTCCATCCCTGTCCCAGGGAATCGCTCCGCGAGGAGACCCTTGAGGGACGTGACAGCCTCACATTTGGCTATGCCCAGCGTGGGCTCAGGACCCACAGGTGACATCGACGATCCCTGTCTGGCAAGTAAATCAGCTTCGTCGTTGCCCGCGACGCCCGAGTGACCGGGCACCCAGACGAGGCGGACCTGGCAGCCGGCACTCGGTCGCCAGTCTTCCCAGGACTTTTTTGCACTCCATTACAAGCTTAGAGCGCACAGTGTCAGCCATAATGGCTTTGATAGCGGCTCTCCTGTCGGAGCAGATTGAAAAGACTGCATTCCTGTGACGCCGGTTTAAAATTTCCCGACCACACTCCATTACAGCGAAAATTTCAGCCAGGAAGACAGTAGCGTGTTCCCTTAAAAAAAAGGATTTACTAATTTTAGGGGACCCTCCGCAAAAACCTGCCCCTGACCTGTTATCCATTCTGGAGCCATCCGTGTACCAGATAGCTCCACTATTCAGTACAGTTGGCTTGGAGCCGCCCGGCCATTCACTTCTTTCAGTGATATGGGCCTCCAAGCCTTTGCTATGAACAAGCTCCGGTCGCATGATATCGCTGCCCATCAGAAGGACAGGACATTTCTCTGCGGCCTGAGACCAAATTCTCGCGTGTCCGGTTTCGCCGGTGCGTATTTCGTCAAGGACGTCAAGGCTTTCCTCATGGCCTCGAACTGAATCACGAGGTCCAGAGGCGGGAGACCTAGGAGGGTCTCCAGGGCCCTTGTTGGGGCCGTACGCATGGACCCCGTTATACTGAGGCAGGAAAGGCGCTGGACCCTGTCCAGTTGCGCCCGTATTTTGGCTTTCTCCGTGCAAGGCCACCAAACGATAGCCCCGTACGTGAGAAGAGGTTTAACTATTGAGTTATGAATCCAGTAAAGGATCTTCGGTGAGAGACCCCAGGTGCAACCAAAGGCCCGTCTACATGCCCAAAGGGCACAGGTAGCCTTTTTCATCCTGTTCTCTGCATGTTCATACCCGGACAGTTTAGAATCCAGCATCACGCCTAGATACTTAACCACCCTGGAGTACTTAAGAGTCACACCTCCCAGAGAAATGTTGGGCGGTGTGCCGAAGTTGCGTCTCCTGGAGAAGAGTAGGAGCTCCGCCTTATTAGGGTTTATCCTGAGTCCTTCCGCAAGGGCCCTGCAGTGAGATGGCGTCCTTACCCGGACAAAGGATAACCAGGTCGTCGGCATAGGCCTGAGTATACAAGCCTGCCTTGTTTAGATTAGTAATCAGGTCGTCAACCACCAGGCACCACACAATCGGGGATAGAACTCCGCCCTGCGAACAGCCTCTGGCGACCATCGCTCTAAGCACCGCATTATTAAGCTCTGCGGACACTCGGCGTTGCGAGAGCATGGCCTCTATCCATCTTACCAGACATGGCTCTATGCCACGCCCTTCGAGTGCACCGCAGATGATGTTGAAAGAGGTATTATCAAATGCCCCTTCAATGTCGAGGAATGCCGCCAGACTAGCCCTTCCACACACCAGATTTCCTTCTACCTTCCCGACCAGGTGGGGCAAGGCAGTTCTGTGGATTTGCCAGTCTGATAGGCGTATTGTTGGGTATGTAAAGGTCTGGAAACCAGTATGCCTTCCTTCACATACCGGTCCTGTAGCCTCTCCAGAGTCTTGAGCAGGAAACTAGTGAGGCTAATGGGTCGATCCTCTCCCATGTGCGCACAAATTCAGGCGCTGCGTATTTATACGTCTGGAGCAGCGTGGTTCTGTGCGTATATATACGCTAATACTAAAAAGAGCCACGAACAAACAGTGTAATTGCTGAATGCGTACTGCAGTTAACTTCGTGAATTCGTCAACGATGCCGGCGCCGACCCTCTAGAGCCAAAAAAACCTAATACGGTTCAGATGCGATGGTGGTGAATCCTCCACGTATTTATACGTCTGGAGCAGTCAAGAGATAAATTGTTTTTTTTTTACAAAATATGGCTGTCAGTCTAAATTTTTGATGTTGAAAATATAATATTGACAATATACAAGACTCTAGTATTACTTGGCACACATTAAAATGTGCTGCGTTTATATACATACGTCTAGAGCAGTTATTGGATTCGCGTATATATACGTTTAGAGCAGCTAAAAGGTTAATAAGAATTAACAACTTATGTATCATTAAGTACTTTGTCGCAACTCGAAGACATATTTCATATACCTTACCAAATAAGTAAATTACGAATATGCCTTTGCCGTTTAATGACAAGACTGGAAGTTATTAATAAGGTAGAGAAGTAGAGTTTACTAAGGCAGTCGATTGAGACGAGAGTAAGAAAATATTCGATCATCTACTTGTCAAAAATTTTTCAAATCTTTAAAAAAAAAAATCTTGCTTTTAAGAAAACCAAAATACGCGTTGGACCAGTTTTATAATAAACGTTTTCGGTGAAACTATCAACGACTTTCATATTTACATTGTAGGGGTACCTAATTTTTATTTTAATAATAATACTTGATACTTGGACAATACGCAATGTAGGTTAGGTATATCCTTAAACTTTAAACAACTTGAAATTGAAATACAATTTGAAATATATTTTCAAACACTTTATTAACAATAAATACATAATATAAAACTGTGAATTAGTATAACATAATAAAGCGCCCAATCCATAATCCATATTAGTATTAATTAAAGAAAACTGTTTATTTTTGTATGAAAATACGAAATTTATTTTAAAATTATTGTCTTGCTGCATCCATTATTCAATCATCATTTGATAGTTTCATTTTAGAAAAATATTTTAACAGTCTTTCTCTTATGTATAAATGCAACATGAACAACTCTTATCCTAATTGAAAATGTTTGAACTAGTTTTCCAAAATAGTAATCGATCACAGTTTTGTCTGTAACAATTTTGTTATTACAAAGCTTTAACAGCTTTTTCAGCAGCATCATCCAGATTTCCTGCAATTTGGATACTCAAGCCAGATTCGTTGATTATTCTTCGAGCTTCTGTAGCATTGGTTCCTTCTAATCTTACAACCAAAGGTACTTTCAGGGGTGTGCTTTTCAATGCGCCAACAATGCCATTTGCAATTGTTGCGCAATTTACAATTCCGCCGAAAACGTTGACCAATATAGCTTTAACTGAGGGATCTGATGTGATAATTTGAAAAGCAGCTTTAACTTGTTCTTCTTTTACACTTCCACCGACGTCTAAGAAGTTGGCTGGTTCACCTCCATACAGTTTAATTATATCCATAGTTGCCATTGCTAAACCAGCTCCATTCACTAAACATCTAAAAATGGTGATATATTTACTACGTTTTCATGGAGTTCAAATCGTTTTGAATCCAGTCCTCTTCCCCGTTTTCATGCAGAGGCAAAATTAGAATTGAGATCGATTTGCAAGTTTTTGAATTTGGATCTTGATACGATCCCAAAAAAAGGTAAAACGACCTTGAAACTGAAATTGATTTCAGTACCTGTTTTCATGGCGTTTTCAATACCAAAACCGCATTCAAAACGATTTCAAAACCGCATGAAAACGAAGTAATTGTTTAGTAGACTTTTTTTGAACAAAAAAATGCAAATTTCAGTCAAAATATACTGAAAAAAAAAACAATCCATTCAAACCGGTCCTGTAGGCCGATTGATACCAAATTATACCAGTTTGTGGAGTTATTGATGGAAAGTAATAAAAAAAGGAACAACATTTTCAGCAGCTACATGTAATGTAGTTCGAAAAATAACTTCATAAAAATATTTTTAAAAAAATAGTCTCTTTTGAAAAAAGTTCATTTATGATAAATTTAAATATTTTTTTTTCCAATTGATAGAGTTACATACATCTGAAATAGTGCAACTTTACCTAGGAATAAAATGACACTCCGACAACGTCAGTTATTATTTAGTATAACTAACCAATCAAAATCGTTTTTGAAAAGAATCACTATGACAGAGCTTCATATTTGGCAAAAGCCTTTTAGATACTCGTTCTCATGGAAATATGATAGAGATTCTTGAATAAAAATTGTGTGCAAGTATCCTATTGTCAGATATTAGGTTTTCAGCGCTTGTGAAAAAAAAAAAGGAATTCATTACTTATTTGAAATATATTGGTAGCTATTACATGCTATATTTTATCAGTGTAAATACACTCCATTTTACTCAGATTGATACCGACCAAGTTCCAGATTACTCTAAGAAACCCTTAAATCTAAGATTGCCAACTATATGTAGTTCTCATTTAATTATGCCTTGCAGTGAAAATTCGAGTGGAAAGAAGACATGAAAAGTTGATATTAAAACAAACAATTATTATGAGACAAGGTTTTCTCAAAATATCCTTACCCAATATTTCCATTCATTCCAATATAATTCAGGTTGTACTTAGCAGCTTCTACTTCTCTGGGATCACTTTCAGTAACATCTTCCATATCAAAAATTTCCTTTTGTCTGTATTTTGCGTTATCATCAAAGTTTAATTTTGCATCCACTGCAACAACTTTGCCTGTAAGCAAATGTTTGTGAGTCTTGAAATAATTACATAACCCAAACTAACCATCATCTGTTTCTACCAAAGGATTAATTTCAATTTGTACAGCATCAACTGTTTTAAATAAATTCCATAAGTTTTTAATTTCCTCTGCTGCTTTTGGTTTCAACTCTCCTTTAAATTCCAAAAACTCGGCCAGCTCATTTGCCATTTTGTTTGTAATTCCTTCAAATATATCAATTGGGATGGTTTTTATAAGCTCAGGAGTTTTTTCAGCAACACCCTCAATATCAACACCACCTAGAATTTTTTTAAAAGTTTTTATTTCAAATTATTAATGAAAAATAAGTCGGAAATTGAATGCTTAAATAACATAGTAACCTGCTGGTGAAGCAATAATAACAGGTCCATTTCTTTGCCTGTCCATGAGAATGCATAAATATGTTTCCCGCATTATATTTACACTCTCAGCAACCATGATTTTTTTGACTGTAATGCCATCCTTAGGTGTTTGTTTCGTGATGAGGTTGAAGCCTAACATTTTTTTAATTATGTTAGGTATTTCTTGACGGCTTAAAAGAATACAAAATATCAACTAATAAAAATTTGTGTAAATGAATTTCTACGAAACAGGCTTTAAATATAGAAAAAAGCAAATACCTTTGTGTAATGTGAACGCCTCCTTTGAAACCATTATTAAAATGTCCCTTTCCTCTGCCACCAGCCAAAATTTGTGCCTTAATCACATATTCTTTAGCATCTGAAAAATGTTATTAAATTGTATTGAATTTAAAAGCAGGGTTGTTTTGTTTAAAACAAAATGTTTTAAATATTTGTTTTAAACGTGTTTAAAACACCTAAATGGGTTTTAAATAGATTTGTTTTAAACTGTTTAAAACATGTTTTAAACAGTAGGTATTTTTTTCAGGTTTTAAACAATGTTTTTTAAGGTTTAAAAGAGTAGGTATTCCTTTGACATATTTACCTGTTATGTATTTAATTTTCTTAATCTAATTTAAATTAATGCTTAAAACTGAGGCTGAAATTTATCTGAAATTGCAATAATTTATTGCCTTTGTTGTTGGTTAGGTTCAGAGTTGAGATGAACGAGAAGGTCGAGAACGTAAGTTTTTACCACATAAGATATTATCTTTTCTTCTTCCTGTCATGGTATTCTTATTTAATTTTTTATAAATCTAACAAACAACACAACACAAAGAATAAACTGACTAGACAACAACTAATTTGAAAAGACAATACCTAAGCATAATACTATCCAGAAAGCCAGTTGCGGGCGTCGGTCGTCAGGAAACACTAAAAAATGGGAATCCCCCGTATTGAAGACAAACGCGTGTCGTTTACCAGAAGAAATATTTATGGCGGTATAGTTTTGGTTGTCTATACAGGGTGTGAAAAAAACTAGTGTACCGGACTTCAAGGAATGATACTACATGTTATGAAAAAAAAAAACGTTCCTATGAACATATGCCCTAAGATGCTTTTTTGTTTTGTGAGTAGGTAACTATGCTCTACTCTTATGGAAACTACCCTTTTAGTACTATTACGACTTTTTTACTATCACCATTCGCTTTGGCATCGAAATGTATGCGAGAATACCAAATTTCAAGGAGAATAGTTTGCCACTCTTCTATACCGGGTGTCTACGAGATCAGTTTCGCGCTGGCATGTGCTGTTTTTTTTTTCGATGGCAAAGATTTTTGGTATAGAGTGTAGGTTTGAGAAATGTCATATTTTGACATGTGTGTCAATGTTTGGTAACTTCCGGTTTGACCGGAAATGGTCCTAACTCCGTAATTTTGAATGGCATCCCAATAATTTTTTCGCATTTTTGGTATCTGCGGATCATGATGTGTACGAAAACGTCAAATTTGAACATTTTTGAAGAAATTTTAGAACTCTGGATGAAAATTTATTTTTGAACAGAAAGTGACGGAGAGGTCTTAAAATTGTTATTTTCAACCCACACAATCGTAAAAAAAGGCGAGTGCCAAGATGTTATCCTTTGCTTGCTCTCCAAAGGCATCCAAAGTTGAAAAAACCACATTTTGTGTGATAACTCAATGAAATCAGTGAAATCACCCAACTTTCACAACAAGAGTTTTTTACCTTTTTCAAAATAAAACCAACTATGCATTGAAACTTTTCATTTATGTTAGTTTTTAATTATTTTCTTATTATTTTTATAATGCACTACTATAAATGATAAAACTACTTATAAATGAACCCCTGTATGAAGAACGCTTTCCAAAAGGAGCTGGTGTTTTTTTTTTTCTTGACAAGCCATTGACAAGATTTATGGGCAAGATATGTTTATTTGTCATTGTTTGACATCTTGGGAATTTGTAAATACAAAGTTTAAATACAGGGGTTTATTTATAAATAGTTTTATCAGTTATAGTAATGCATAGTAAAAATATTGGAAAAATAATTAAAAACTGGCATGAATAAAAAGTTTTAATGCATAGTGGGTTTTATTTTGAAAAAGGTAAAAAACATTTGTTATGAAAGTCGGGTGATTTCACTGATTTCATTGAGTTATCACGTAAAATGTGATTTTTTCAGCTTTGGAAGCCTTTGGAAAACAAGCATAGGATAATAATTTGGCACTCGCATTTTTCTACGATTGTGTTGGTTGAAATTAACAATTTTAAGACCGCTCCGTCACTTCCTGTTCAAAAATAAATTTTCATCCAGAGTTCTGAAATTTCTTCAAAAATGTTCAAATTTGACGTTTTCGTACAAATCATGATCCTCAGATACCAAAAATGTGAAAAAATTATTGGGATGCCATTCGAAATTACGGAGTTAGAACCATTTCCGGTCAAACCGGAAGGAACAAGGACACACATGTCAAAAGATGACATTTCTCAAACCTACACTCCATACCAAAAATCTTTGTCATCGAAAAAAAAAACAGCAAATGCCAGCGCGAAACTGATCTTGTAGACACCCGGTATAATAAGTAAAATCTATTATTCTCATCTACCGTTTGAAGGGCTGTAACTTCTTCAGGGAGCATCTTAGAGCATATGTTCATAGGAACATTTTTTTTTTTTATTGATACCCTATTTCATTTATTTAAAGTACTCCTCAGCGTGTTTAAATCCAACTTTCAAAAACGCGCGTGTTTTAAAGTTACCAATGACAACATCAACAACCAACAACCCGAGAAAGGTCTAAATGTCAACTTTTTAATTATTGATTTGTCAGGAGTAGGTTAGGTACTTGTAGATAACGTCAAATAAAATGTAACAAGTGTCAAGCACAAATTTGCATTCTACAATTATTAGTAATTTATGATTTGAACGTATACAAATTAAAAAAAATAGTGTAAAGTATTCGTGGATAACTGGTCTTTAAAACACTTGCTCTATTTCGAGCACTCGGCTGCGCCGTCGTGCTCGAAAAATCGCGCGTGTTTTAAAGACCTTAATATCCACTTATACTTTAATATACTATTATTTTTCCGATGTAGTATCACCTCTCGAAGTCCGGTACACTATTTTTTTTTATTTTCACACCCTGTATACGAATGTGAACGATATTTAGCTGTATCAGTTAGAAGCAGCACAAAAATAGCAGCTGTTGAAAAAAAAAACATTGTTAAAAACATGGTTTCAAATCTTTTAAACATGTTTTTTTTAATGGATATTTTAAACAGTTTAAAACAATAAAAAACAATAAAAACAAAAAAAAAACATGTTTTTGTTTTAAAAAAAAAAACATGTTTTTTTTCAACCCTGTTTAAAAGTGATAGTGCTAATTTGAAAAGTATAAGAAGGATTTCAATAGTTCTGAACAAGTCGAAATTGCTCACTGGGGGAAGAAAACTCGGCAATTTAGTTGTTTGATCCGATCCGCCATTTATTCCAGACACGTTGGAAGATGCAAAATTAATTAACCAAAGAACAGAAGACATGATGTGCATGATGTAGTAATAGTTTCAAATCCTCCTTTGATGAATCAGTTAGCACTGCACTCAAAATACATAGTAGGTATAGTCCGCAGCACTGAAGATAAAGGACGATGCATAAAGGAGGTGAGGAAGCAAATGCACGAAAACTCCTAGCGACAGAATTAAGGAACCTAGCAAACTACTGAAACGATCGAGAAATACTAAATAATAATAATAATAATAATAAATTCTTTATTTCAAATCATATAAAAAGATACATTTCCTGTACGTGGTACATAAAAACATACATATATAAAAAGAAATGGCGTCAACAAAGGAATTCCAAAGAAAAATAAAGAATTCTAAAGAGCATATGCAACCTGTCTATACTTCTCCAAAATAATCACCCATACAGTAGGGTTCCAAATTAATTAAAAGTGCTTTTGTTTTAGTCTTGAACAATTTACGGCTCTTTATACTTTTAATATCATTAGGCAGATTATTAAATAACCTTAAACACATGTAACTCGGGTTCTTTTCAGTTAGGGAAAGTCTATGAATAGGGTAATTTACATTATATGTTCTAGTATTATATTGATGCCCAATGTCGTTTTCAAAAAGAGTCCTATTATTGAAGAAAAACATCAAACATTCATAGATGTATAGTCCATAAACAGTTAAAATGCCGAAAGATTTGAATGCACCCCTACAGCTTTCGATAAATCTCATTTTTTTAATTGTTCTCAGGACTCTCTTCTGTATTACAAAAACCTTTTGTGTACCGCTGTTAGTACCCCAAAACATTATGCCATACCTCAAAATGGATTCAAAATTTGCATAATAAATCATTCTTAGACTGCTTCCGTTCATGTACCTTCCTACAACCCTAATTCCATAACAAATCGAGTTAAGCCTTTGCATTGACCGCTGTATATGTGCGGTCCAGTCCAAAAACTCATCCAAATAAATTCCTAAAAATTTTGTGTCTGTCACTAATTCAATCTCATTTTCTCCAATATTCACTTTTAGTGGCTTATCAATATTGCATTGCTTTGTTCTAAGGAACAAGATGTTCGTTTTATTTTTATTCAGAAGCAGTTTATTTTCGGAAAACCAGCCCTCAGCCCTACCAAACAAAGATGACCCTTCTGATATGAGTTCTGGCATATTTTTGGCGCCAGTAATTAGATTGGTATCATCTGCATAACATGTGATGTGCTCGTTTGGGTGATTTGCTATGGAATACAGGTCATTTAAAAATATTACAAACAAAATGGGTCCAGCTATACTACCTTGAGCAATTCCAATTTTATTTTCGATGGGGTTTGAAAAATATGTTTGTCCATTTTTCACAATCCTAACTCTCTGAATTCTACCTGTGACATATGATTTAAAAAGATTCAGTGCATTTCCTCTGATACCGTACCTTTCCAGTTTTGCCAAAAGTAGGTCCGGGTTAACACAGTCATATGCTTTAGACAAATCCAAACATATGCCAATGGCAAGATTACCTTCCTCCATTAGGCTCAAAATTTTTTTTGTGAAATGGAAAAGAGCACTTTGAGTGGATTTGCCATGCATATATCCATGCTGATTTGTGTTCAGGATGTTACTTTTGTTTAGAAAGTCCAGCAATTGTTTACACATGACCAACTCAAATAATTTTGAAAATGATGGTAGCAAACTTATAGGTCTGTAATTTTCGTACAATTGAGGATCATCTTTTTTTAATAAAGGTATTATGAGCGCTACTTTGAGTTTATCTGGAAAAGTACCATGCCTGAGAGAATTATTTATAATATAAGACAGTGTTTCTTTTATAATTGGAATTGCTACTTTAACAATACTAGTTGGTATCTCGTCTATCCCGCTGCTATGTTTATTTTTAATTTTCTTAGACAGTTCACATAACTGATCTGCAGATATTGGTTTCAAAAGCATTGACTGATAGTTCTCCGGTATTTTGCAGTCTAATATGTCACTATTAACATTTTTCAACATGTCTGGGATCACTGATACCAGAAAATTGTTATATTCATTTGCTATTTTTTCCGGGTCGCCTTTGATACCAATATCCCCATTCTTCTCATTATTGCCCGATACCTCACGGTATATTGACCACATACATTTTGTTTTATTGTCAGACAAACACAATTTCCTTTCATATGCCTCAGACCTGGCCTCTATCAGTAATGTATCATATTTTCTTTTTAAATTATTATATTCTTCTTTAAAATCATTATTACCTCTAGATAAAGTTAGGTACACGTCCAAACGTTCTTTACATTCAATAATTTTTTTCATTTTGCACTTTAACTTTGTGCCTACGATTTTGATTATATATTAGAGGGAAACAGTTGTTGAAGATATTCATGAAAGTGTTCAAAAATGTAGACCATTGCTGATTGACGTTGCTCTTTTCTACACACATCAAAATAGTCTAGGGAACAAGCTGCAACTGAATACATTTATAAATTGAACAAAATATACTTTTGAAAGATTTTTAAATTTTATTAAAGCCTGCTGGAAAAGCAGGTATGATAAATTTTACAAGATTTGTTCAACAAATACCCATATGGTATCTTTTTAAAAAAAGTTATTCTGTCTAAAAATTAAAAGACGAATATTTCTTGTTCCCTAGATTTTTTTGATGAGTGTATTTCAAATATTTCCACCCAATCCTGCTCCTCCAATAGTTTTGAAAAGTTTTTTTTATTAAATTCTGTAAAGAACCGTTTGTGCTTTAAAATATTATTTTGAGGGTTTTCAATATAAAAAGTTAATTCCTGCGCATTGTGATCAGAAATATGAGTATCTAGAGTCTTACCGTCCACATACTCATAATTTACAAAAATGTTATCAATACATGATTCTGAAGTCTGTGTGATTCTCGTATTTGCAAAAATTGTTTGGTTCAGATTAAAGGATTGTAGTAATGAATTGAAATTGCCTCTATTGTTGCTTTGTTTTAGCATGTCTATGTTGAAGTCGCCAGCAATTACAATTTTCTTATTTTCCCCCACTAAGTAGACTATTTACCATTTTTTCAAACTGGTTTAAGAAATTATTTACATTACCACTAGGCGGCCTGTACAGAGAGATAATAATCATTTTGGAACCATTCACCATGCACTCAATTGAAGCACATTCAAAGTCATTTATAATCGACAGTTTATTAATTTTTTTTCGCATTTGATAGTTGATACTTTTATGTACATACACAGCACTCTCTCTGTGATGTCCAGCCCCTCTACAATAACTAGCTCCTAGTCCAAAGTTTTTAATGGATAAAAACTTCAGCTGCTCAGATGATCTCTAGCCTGTTGACTAGACAAAGACACAAAATCATGTGAGGGTGTTCTGTTTGTTCAAACACAGACCATAGACCTATTAATACTAACATATGGACAGAGTGTCAAGAGAGCAAAGCGATGACAGAATAGTAAAGTGAGTAATAACATTCAAATATATTCCGGTTTTGCCGGTCGTCACATGATTGCATAGACCGCTTTCTTGTCATACTCATTAATTTTGTATTGCACTATGTCACTTTCATTCTGTCACCACATCTGCTGATTGTGCTAAATGGACATCAACTCCGTCCATACGTTAGTATTAATTGGTCTATGGTCACGCCCCATTCTACACATTTTTTTTCAAACTTGTCGCATTCTTCCGGTCCTTTATGTCCCATGCTTCAGACTATAGGTACTACCGATCTAAATAATAAAGCTTCTGGTAGAAAATCAAAGAAACCTGCCATGCCTCTCTGGGTGTCCTGTCACTATTATTTATGAGGTATGCTATTTTTTGAAAATTATTAAAGATAGAGACATAGGTAACTGATGTTAGCTTACTGAATTTATCAAGTCCGTTCTCCCCTTGATCATCTATCATACAAAAATCTTGTATTGCTACATTGGTTCTTCTCAACAAGTTTTTACTCTGGTATTCTAATAAGTTCAAATAACGAACAGGCACCTGAAAAATGAATAAAGTACCAAAGAGAAAAGAAATGACCTGTGTGTAGATGACTTTTAGGGCCTAGAATAGGGTTTCCATAAAGGTTTTTCGGAATCCAGGACCTAGGAGTCAAGAAATCCGGACAAACTCCGGACTTCGCCGAATTTTTTTTTATCAAGGATGAGTTTTGTTTATTTTTTGCAAAAATAAATTTTTACACAAATTAATAGATACGCTTTGAGCATTTTTTCCCTTAGACTGAAGACACAATGACAAATACAAGGTACCAATGAAAAGAGACAAAAATATAATAACACGTGTATCACTCCTATAAGGCAATCCAGAATAAATGGAATGGATACAGGATATAATTTACTTGCCATCCCAGGATACAAAATTTCGAATTATTGTTAGGTATCTCCCAAGGAAAATACACACTCTAAGGCGTGTTTATCCGCCTTATTGTTTTTGGTAATTGCCGCCATATTGGTGTGAAATCATTTCCGATCTCATCAGCTGTTTAAACAGCCTACGTCAATGCGAGAAATAACATGCTGCCTACGTCACAACTGGTATTTGGGTGAAAATGGATTTGTTACTCTAAGTTTGTTACACACAGGCCTTATAAGGATAATGGCCATTTGCACGGCTATCACTTAAGGGATATTTGATCTAAGTGAAGCTTTCAATGTGACTTCTGTTTCTACAAGGGGCACATTCAAAGCTTCACTTGGATTAAATATTCCTTGAGTTATGGGGTGCAAATGGCCGTAAGTCATCCTAGTAGTGTGTATCATCCTTGGGTATCTCCGAGTTTTCCGGATATTGTTCCGAATTCCGGCCGGACTTCCCCGGACACCCTAAAAACCCAAACATGTCCGGGTAAATCCGGACGTATGGAAACCCTAGGCCCTAGAAGATAGAAGTTGGACTTACTTTATATAAAATATCTTGTTTTGACGAATATTTTACCAAACTGTTCCATAAAGACATTGCGATAAATTATTTGTTAATAATAAAACAGAACTAAGAACTAAGTCCAGGGTCTAAAGTTCAATTCTGGATCACAGTTTGTACTTTTGTGAGATGTATCACACAATAATAATTGTGGTTTTATCACTACTTATCTCTGGATCAAGACAGACAAAAGAGTCAAAAGACAAATAAACAAGAACGAAGAACGAGAAAAAATCAGGTTATGTCCTAATATCAAAATCGCTTTCTATCCAAGAGTGGAAAATTGCGTTCAAGCTGGGGCGAGTTCAGGAATGACACACACAGTGTGAGTGTGACACCGGTGCGACGCCCTAGCTGTTCAAAAATGCTAGACGGTGCTATGGGCCCAATGGCCAATTGTCAATTCAGGCAACCAATAAAATCGCACTCGCACCCTGTGCGTTATTTCTGAACTCGGCCCTGGTAATCGATTGCGGTACCCTTGCCTGTGACACTACTCTTCTGACTTTAGAGTAAAAATAGGTGTATTTCTTTCGATCTGAACCAACTGATCGAAGTCACTTGAGGTTTGTTTCAAACAATTTTCATTCGGTTTTAAAACGATTTCATTGGCCCCAGCTGTTTTTTCGACGCGTCATGAACAAACTTTATGTGAGCCGCTTTCCAGCTGACGCTTTTGAGCACGCAATCGAGCTTTTGTGCGCGCAAATGCTTCAAGCGCGTATTCGTGTTCCAGCCGTACTGCGCTTCGAGAGCTGCTAATTTTTGCGTTTCAAACACAGAACACTGTGCTGCACCGTGCTTGAAGCACACAGCTGGAGAGCGGCTGTGATCACAACAATCACAGTTTGTTTATCGAAAGAATACCAGAGTTGAGTTCGGAATGGGATTTTAGTGCAGTGCTAGTGCGGTGTTCGCGTAGTGCAGTGTTATATCAGGTGAGTTCGGAATGGTAGAAAGTGTCGACACTTTTAACACTATTGACACCGTGGCGTTCGGTAATTGGTAGGAGTGTTTGGTGTACACTTTATTTGCGTTTGGAAATAATTTGATGTCCGAATGGTGTGACATCGTTTTCTCGGTCAAAAATGATGGTATATTCGGTGTTACACCGCCGATTACACCTTCATTACGTGATATAACACTGCACTACAGGAACACCGCACTAGCACTGCACTAAAATCCCATTCCGATCTCAACTATCACGTGATGAAGGTGTAATCGGCGGTGTAACACCGAATACACCATCATTTTGTACCGAGTAAACGGTGTCTCACCATCTTCACACCATTCGTACACCAAATTATTTTCAAACGCAAAAAAGTGTACACCAACCACTCCTATCAATTAACGAACGCCAAAGTGTCAATAGTGTAGAAAGTGTCGACACTTTCTACCATTCTGAACTCACCTCAGGAATAACAGTACTTTGTAAAGGGTCTTTACTCGGGTTCTCTACCTTCTAACCTAGAACTAACACATAGAAATCTTTCATAATGAGTTTTGAACGGAACAATTGGTAGAAACCGTGCAGTTTTTTTTTATGTATGATCGATTGGCAAACTCGGAACTCGGTCAATAATTTTTCAGATTTTTCGTCATTAGGTCGTTAAGTATGATCTCAAAGAAATAAGCAACAAACAGAAACAGTGAGGTCTCTGTGCAGAGTATTCGTCCACGTTTGACGTTTCTGATTGTTTTGAAAATATTCGGAATGCTGTTCCCAGACGTTTTGTTGATAGTGTTCGAACAGTCTGAACAAGGTCACATTCACAAAAGCATCACTGGGCGTGGCGCTGATTAGCTGAAAAAAGGCCCGCTCAGAACTCCCGTAACAGATTTAAGAAGTAAGTCGTAGATACATGTAGTTCGCGGGAATTATTCCAAGAACAAAATTTATTTATAACTCGCACTAATTTGTTCGTTCTAAATTTTTTGTTCATTATTATGCAACTCACTAGCACAGCCTGAATCGCAACCATTCCACCGAGGACGGCGGGTGACGTCATCACTATAAGCTGCTGGTAGTGATGTCACTCGCAGGACCAGAATTCGATGGTGAGGCAGTTAGGGGAGTATGACACAGTGGACACATCACATAACCCAGTATAATCAGGTTATGCTTGATTATCCTCACGAAAAACTACCTATTCCCTAATAACACAGTAACATCGCAGAAACATTCCAGAAACATCCATCAGGGATAATGAAGACGTCCCTGGGAGGTCCCTATTTTCCTGGGGACATCCCTGGGATGTTGCAGGCAACAGCCGTGTCATCATTTGCGATGTCCTATAAACATCTCTCAGGGATGTTTCTAAGATGACGCGGGATGTACCTAATACATCCGGGGCAGGTGTAAGAAACATCCTCTATATGTTTCTAGTATGACTTTAATAGGTGAATGAATTTTAGGATTATGGATTAAAAATTACCTAATTCAATAATTTTCAATTTTCGTTCTATTTTCTGGAAGTCAGAACTTTTTCCAAAAAAAAAACAAAAATTGAAAATTATAAAATTAAGTAGGCACATCAGTTTCCAATAACATTTTTTATTGAAAAAATAAGGTACATGTATACTTATATTGATTATCTATCAACTAATAATAATCGACGGACAATTTTGCCTAAATAATGTAGTATTTATGCCCCGTCATGTCATCGAAAACCATAGTTTGGCAGTGGCAGCATGTTGTAGTAGGGGAGTTCGGCGTTTTCTTTTTTTGTTGGTGCTCCAATTTCATAAAGGTACCATTATCTAACCAAAACAACCACAGAACCAAAATCCAAAGTTCTTGAAGTACAATTCAACTTGCACACCTAGAATGTAATCAACTATGAAAACAAAAAATAATTATTGGTTATTTTCTCTTACCTAATGAAGAATGAAGTTCGGGTTTCTAGGGGCTATTTATCAGAAAAGTTAGAAATTTCCTAACCGACGCCATATTGAAATTAAATAAACTAAGCAATTGATAGTTATGCGACGTTATCTTTCAACAAATAATCTTTCTCACCAACTAATAAGCACTGGTAGGTCGCAGAGATCCTTTCGAACACAAAATGGCACAACTAGGTATAGCGAAAAACCACAAATTGACAAATCCTCCACACAGCACGACGCCATTACGAAATAAAATTCCGCCCAACAACACAAGCGTAGCGCACAGGACGACCCGTTCGACTGATTCTGCCCATCTGCGCTGGCTGCGGCGCCGACCCGACGTGGTGGCGTGCCCTCCTGTCCTGACCGGTACAAGTACAAATGCCTGAGCACGCGCCTGCGCCATACACTTCGGCTTCACGAATATTCACGATGTTTGAAAGTTGAAAAGAGAGAAGACTTTTATCAATACATATTTTATTTTATTCCAAGTTGTAAGTCGAATGAAAAATTAAATATTGCTGTTGTTACAATACAAAATTAATATTAAGTTCCTTATTATCTATATACATTACAGGTATATTATGGAATTTGAAATTAGTTTGTGTGTGTGATAGAGACATTTTCAGAAATCACACAAAATTGGCAAATTTAATACTGGGTCCTACCGGTCTGAGGTCCTACCTAGTTTTGTAAAATAATGTTAGCCATTTTTTAGCTGTAATAAGTATCTAATTTTGAGAACAAAAAATCTTTTTGTCGATAGATATTTACGAAAGGATGTTTCTAAAACATTTCAGGACAATCATCCTAGAGATGTTACATTACAAACATCGCAGCGATGTACCATTTATGTCGGAAACATAAGGACCTTAATGGTACATAAATAGGATGTTTCTGGGAGATCGGTGTTATTAGGGTTATTGCATAAATAAAGTACGACCATAAATAAATACGGATTACCAAGGCTGAGTTTGGCTTTACACTCGCACCCGTATGCACCATAAAGCAATCCTTCGTAGTGTGTATTATCCAGAGCTGGGCACGAGTAAAAAAAAATTTATTCGTACGACCCACGAGTACGACTGCTCAAAAAATGTATTTGTAAGTATTTTACTCGTAAGTAATTTTATAGAGGCGGATCACGGTTACGGGTAGTAATCGTAAAAGTACGAGTAAAGAGTAGGTACGAATACTTTTAAAAGTTTAATCTAATAGGATTCGAATCAAATCGAGAAATAAGGTCCTTATTTACCTCAGGACTAAATAATACTCATACATTTTTTAGACATAAGTATAGGTAAAAAACATTGAGAATCAATCATAGGATTCATAGGCACGCGGCATTACCGCATGGTATAGGAAGCGCAAATAAAACACTAAACGAATAAGGAGAAGGAATAACGAAAAAAAGTCAATGCGCATGCTCACCGCCGAGCGAGTGGCAAATTTCCTTGATGGCCGCCGCGCTTATTATTTGTTACCGGCAACCGGCAACTAAAAGAATGCGACTACTCGTAAGATATATTCGTACTCTACGAGTAGAGTACATTTGAATTTACTCGTAAGTACGAGTTTAGTTAAATTAATTAATTAAAAATACGAGTGGGTTTACGTTTTCGATTTTTTTCCCCAGTGTTGTGGTGGGTTCGGTTCAGTGGGAGTACAAATTAGTTAACTTATAATTATTTATAAGTCTTTATTTCTGAATTTACATGTTCCTCTTTTTTTTTAACCCAGCAACAACTACCTCTGCTAACCCCACTTCCCTAGGCCGTTGTGTCTCTTGTCGGCCTAGTGGGTGAGGTTCTATCAAGAATATTACCATAAGTTAACATAAAACATAATGTAACACCTAGATCTCTTTTCCACTTTTATTTCAGGTCCATTACTATTTACCTCCTCGTTTACTAGTTAAATAAAATTAAAACGAAACCAAACAATTTTTTTTTTGAGATTTGTGACAACTGTGACAAAGGTTTCATAGGAGCAGCTGTTTATTATTCCGAAAATGGATGGAAGGCAAATATTAAGATGTGAAAGGAAATATTGCAGTCCCTTGAAGATGAAATGTATGCCATTCGGCCCCAGAAGTTTTTTTGTGTTTCGCAAAATTATAGGCCTCCGCGAGCACAAAAATACCCACTTCTTGGCCTAATGACATAGGTAATTAACTATTGGTTCGACTCAACAGATCGCAATCAGACAACTTTCAAGTTTGGTGTATAAAATTTTTTTCTATCTTGAATAGTAAAGGCTATGGGCATGGGCTCGCTCCAAATATAATCAAAGACCCTGTCTCCGACTCCAAGGCGTATAGAAATCGTCGCTGCAGGTCGAATCTTGTACGCGTCTGTG